CCCTACTCTTTCAAATACGCCAAGCTCTTGTCATTTCCCAGATTAGGTATTCTCTCCTGAACTGAGACTTTGTGCACACTAGTGTCCCTTTGCCTTGAATGTCCTTCCAAACCTTGTCCTCCTGACTCAGTGCAAACCATGCCCTTTCTGTGACAGCTTCTTCACCTACTCTGGTAGATGACTTAGGCCCTTTCATCAATTTATTGCAGCAGTCAAAACATATCATTAAGCATTTGTTGACTAGTTGTATTCCCTCCTTGGGTATTGCAGACACATCTGGCACAAATATAGCAGGCACTGAGCTTTTCCCACTGGTTGTGGCTATTTCCCAAGCCTGTCAACCTTGGTCTCATCTCTTTCTGCTCTGGGCTCTTTTTAATTCATTTCACCAAACATTTCACAGAGCATCCTTTAAATAACTGGAAAATATCTACTGAACACTTACTATACCAAGTGTGCTTTACATACATGTTTTATTACTCTCAATTCATGAGGCAGGGATTATTATCCTCATTTTATGAATGAGCAAAAGGAAGCTCAGTATGATGGCTGAAGGTCTCAGAGCTGGGAGTGGCTGGACTGGAATTCCCTCAGTGGCTCTGACTCCCAAATCCCAAGATTTTCCCTCCATGTCACTGTCCATCAAACTGTGATCCATGATCCACCCACATTAGAAACACCTGAGATGCTCATTAAAACACATTATCCTGGCTTCCACCTCAGACCTACTGACTCAGAATCCTGGGAATGAAAATGGGGATGAAAAACTAAATTTCTAATAATTTTGCCTAATGTTATTTTAAGCAATTGTTATTTTTTGAATAGTTCAAAGTTTTAAAGAGTATAAATGAAAAGCAAGCACCTCACTCCATTCCCCAGTTGTCCAATTCTCTACTCACTGTTCTGGGAAGCAATCGCTTTTCTTTGGGGTGACTCAGCACACTGAAGTTTGAGGACTACTTTTATACTTATGGGATAGACCAAAATGGGCAGGTTTCTGCACTCCATAGCTCAAAGCAAAACTGCAGGTAAGACCACCCACCATTCAGAGGCAGGTGCCCCAGAAAGAGATCCAGAGTCACCAGTAAAGATGGCAGAGACTTCTCCTTAGTGGAGTGTCTGCATCTCCTGTTTCTAGGACCTTCAAGTCTGCTCAGCTCCTGACATCACTTCATGTAGGAGGCTGGTTCCTGCACAAGTAGTCTTGTCACGAGCAAAGATCAGGAATAAACGGTGGGCAGGGGGAGAGTAAGGCACGTGGGAGGAGCAAAGGGGAGTCTGCCCAGAGGTCTAGTGCTTGAAGGGTCTGGGCAGAAGTCTAAAAGCCAACCTTTCAACTTGTATTTCCGATTATTTGTGGTAATTATCGACCTTCCTCTTTAGGATAGTCTTTAAAATCTGTGATGTTTAACCTTTCTGAGATCACAGACTCCTTTGGTAATCCCATGAAAACTATGGACCTTCTCCCTAGAACCGTAAAACTCCGCTTACTGCAGAACTTTACAGACCACCAGGCAAGATTACCCAGGGATATCCAGGAGGTCCAAGTTAAGAATCCGCTTTTGGACAAACATTCTATATTTGTTTACAGAGAGCCTGAACCATGTCGCCACATGCTGCGAAATGCCCTGGCATAACCCAGAGGCCAGGTGGCCCAGAAGGTGGAGGCGGCGGCGACTTCAGGCTACGGAGCCTGGTCGCCTTGGACAGGATCCACAGACAGGTAACGGCTGCCAAGGGGGGCTGTGGGCCCCTTCC